CCAAGATCGTGCCATTGCACTCCAGCCTGGGTAACAAGAGCGAAACTCCGTCTCAAAAAAAAAAAAAAAAGAAAAGAAAAGAAAACCATATTCTATTTCTGGTACTATATACTTTGGGATTAGGAAAAGTTCCTGTAAGGCAACTTCTGTGTGTGGGCTCACTGATTTTGAACTGTAGTAGTATTTTTCCTGACTTTAAATATAACAACATTATCTCCTTGTGGAAACGAGAGAAACCCCCAGGAATGAAGGTGAAAGCGAATGCTTTGCTGGAATCCTGATAGTGGTGTGAGTTGATGTTTCCCGTATTTTTAGTGAGGCCAGCCTAGTGTCTTGGGGTCAGGAGCTGTCTGGGGCTCTTCTTCATGAACTGTCTTGTCATAGCCATGCCTCTCTGTTTGGTGTTGGCGGGTTTCAAGTGGGTTTGTAGCAGCTCATTAACTATTTGGAAATTGAAGCCCGTCCAGATAGGAATTGCCACGTTTTTTTCTTTTGTGTCTTTGGATTTGTCTTACGATGTGTTTTCATCCAGGGAACTTTTTAATGTTAAGAGATGGGGGGTGTCTCACTTTGTTGCCCAGGCTGGTCTCAAACTCCTGGGTTCAAGTGATCTTCTTGCTGGCCTCCCAAAGTGCTGGGGTTATGGGCGTGAGCCACCGCACCCAGCCATATTTAAAATTTTTACAAAAGCATATGTATCTATCTTTCCTTAAAGGCCTCTTGGTTTAGTGCCTGAGATCTCTCCCCACCCTGATATGTTTACAAATGAATGCTTTTATTCTTCTCTTGTGTCTATGTCTGGTTCTGTTGGATTTATTCTGATGTGAAATGTAAGGCTTAGCCCCAGGCTTGATTCTGTGCATCCTGCTCCGTTATCTCCACACTGGATGTGGAATAACCACACTTTCTCCATCAATTTGAAGTGCTGCCTTTGTCCTAGGTTACCCTGTATATTCCGTTCATTTCTGGACTTGATATTCTGATCCTGTCTACACGTCAGTACCATACTATTCTAATTCTTGTAGTTTTATCACTACATTTTATTTTACTTATGACTTAGTGACAGGGTCTCACTGTGTTGCCCAGGCTGGGCTCAAATGATCTTTCTACCTCAGCCTCCCAAAGTGTTGGGATTACAGCTGTGAGCCACTGCACCCAGCCTATCACTATATTTTAATTGCCTGTGTTCCCCTTCTATTTTGGAATGTTCCTGGCTCATCTTGTTCATTTGCTATATGAACTCCAGAAGTAGCTATTTCCCAGAAACATCCCCTTGTTGTCTCTTCTTGTGATTGGAATCGCAGCATGCTTACTTACGGTCAGTGTATGGGGTGCTGCCCTATGTGTGATGTCCACATCCCTGTCCAATGCACTCCCTCGGCTCTTCCTGCTCCTGAACTCTCCCTCCCAGAGTCGACAGGGTGAGGGTGCCACTGTCCCAGGCAGGGCAGAGGCTGGCGCTGGTGACAGTGCCGTACCACCCATCCCAGAGTGACAGCGGCCTCTCCTCTGCTGCCGGGGTCTGTGCCCTCCTGTGGGGCTTGTCACCTGGTCCCACACTTACTTTATCTTGAGGCCTGCAGTGTCCTCACTGCTTTTCTTTTAGGTTCTGTGGGGGTTCAGGAGGGTAGGGCTGTCTGTGGATTTGTGCATCAGCTGGGAGCTCCTCTCCACTTTCTAGCTAAGTCTTTCAGGCCAGAGAGCAAGTAGGTTACCGGGAGAGCTGGGTTCCAGAAAAAGGACATGCCAGGAGATCTGGACATGGCGATACATCCCGATAATTTTCACAACTGAGGTAAAAGACTGGGCACAGGAATTTGGGACTACCCTGTGCTCTGCTGGTCAAGAACTTCTGGATCAGTGGTGTATGTCCATTTTCACACTGCTGATAAAGACATTCCCAAGACTGGATAATTTATAAAGGAAAGAGGTTTAATGGGCTCAGTTCCATGTGGCTAGGGAGCCCTCACAATCATGGCGGAAGGCAAAAAAAAAGCACTTGTGCAGGGGAACTCCCCTTTATAAAGCCATCAGATCGTAAGACTTATTCATTAGCATGAGAGCAGCATTGAAAAGACCCACCCCCACGATTCAGTTACCTCCCACGGGATCCCGTCCATGACATGTGGGAATTAAAAGAGTGACACAAGATGAGATTTGGGTAGGGACACAGCCAAACCTTATTAAGCATGTTCCAAGGGAGTGGAGTCTTGTCTGCCCAGGGAGGTTGGAGGGGCTGGGCTGTGGACGGGGGAGGCTGCAAGGGCCGTGCTGTCTCTTTGGCATCCTTATGCCTCTATGTGAGTCACCTCCGCCCTGTGAGGTTGTTCCTTGCACCCAGGCTGCCTCACTGGCATGATCTGATGATATTACTGGGGTTGCGGGTTCCCTCAACCGTGGGTCCTTGTGAGAAATATGACCCTCAGGCCCACCGAGACCTGGCCTTTTCTGTGTGGGTGCCAGGCCAGGCCAAGCCACCATCTCCCTTCCCACCCCTGTGTTTCAGACCCCTCACAGAGGCTTTTGGAAATCTAGGGTCTGTGAAAGGAGCAGAGAGAGGGGAGAATGGGCCATGTCCTTGTCCCAGGCAGCCATCCCTGTCACCCTCAGCCCCCTCTGCCAGGGCTGCTGTGAGGGCTGTGAGGACAGTGTGTTTAGTGAGCAGGCTCTGGGTAAATGTGAAATTGATCGGTGCCCAAGAAAAAAAAAAATGAAATTTTTTTTTTGGTGCCTGTATGTGTTGCCCTGGTAAGTAATTTCATAATAAACGTGCTTGGGAGGACCTTGTTCTGGTTAACAGGGCCTGGTTGGGAGTCCTGTTGCTTGGACCTCTTTATGCCAAGTGACATCATGGCTTATCTTCCTGATGGTGTTGAGTTGAAGTCTCATTACTCATGGTGGTAACATTGAAATCTTTGTTCATTACATTCAGTTACTTTTGTTTCTATCTGTTATTTGAAGAGCCTTTCCTCCTTAAGTTCAGCCATTTTAATGGAAGGTTTTAATTTTGATGAGGTCTAATTTGTGAAATATTTTTCTTTTATGGTTATTTTTTGAGTCCTAAAAATTGAGTCCTAAGAAACTCAGTTTGCAAAGGTAGGTTCCATTTCTATTTTTTAAACCTAAGTTTGGCAGCTTCACATCAGGTTCTGCATTTGTGTGGAGGCCTGTGGCCCATCTTGAATGATCCTGCTTGTGGTGTGAGGTGGGGTCGGAGTTCCTTCTTCTCTATATGAAAACCCAGCTGATGGAGAACCCCTGCTGAAACCCTTTCTTTCCTCAGGGGCAGGCGCAGGCACCTCTGATACAATCAGGCAGCTGGGTCCGTGCCAATGTTTCTGGGCTCCTGGCTCTGTTGGCACCTGTGTGAGGCCTGAGGTTGGTGCCCATCTCATGATGGGAGCTGTGTATTGGGCAAGTTCTGAGAGCTGCCTGGTTCTCCCGCTTTGATTTTGGTTTTCCTGATTGCCTGTGTGTCAAGGTTCTTTGCTTTTCCATAGGATTTCAGCCTCGGCGAGTTCACTTTGCTGTAGTGCCTGGTGGGCTTGCAGTTGGCATTATGTCAGATCTATAGATCAGTCTGGAGAGAACTACTCTTGGAACAGGGCTGAGATGGCTCCCAGGCCACACACACGGCATCTCTATGTACCCAGTCACCATGATGTCAGATGTGTAGATCAGTCTGGAGAGAACTGCGCTTGGAATGGGGCTGAGATGGTGCTTAGGCCACACACATGGTGTCTCTATGTACCCAGGCGGTTTTTTCTTTCAGCAGTGTTTTGTGGTTTTCAGAATAGATCTTCCACCTATTTTGTAACATGTATTCCGAAGCCTTAAGTTTTTTGAGGATTTTGTACATAGTTTTTTAAAGTTTCATTTTTATATTTTGTGGTGATAAGACATGAAAATCCAGGAGGCTTCTGTGTTGACTGTGTGGTCCTGCCAGGTGCTCAGCGCAGCCCCCGCAGTGATTGCTGTTTTTGGTTGGGAGGTTGGAGCAGTGGTGTTTGAAAGCGATTGACCTTAGTGTTTCCTCTTTTTTATGAGTTGCTCATGCGTCCCTTTGCAGAGTTAAGTCTAGATCATGGCTCGAAACACTGTATTGAGCTAGGAACTTGGAAGTTTGGATGAATTCTGTAAGTTGTGTAGAATTGAACCATTAAGCATGAAATATCCTCAGCACTGCATGATGGCAGAATGTAGGATGGATTGGTGAGGCTGCAGAGTTTTTGGGAGCGCCCTTAACAAACCCACTTTTCCTTTGAAAAGTCATTGGCTGAGGGGTCAGCGCATTCTCCTTGGCTGACTCAGATGGCTCAGGGTTGGTGGTAAGGAGTCCCAGGACACTCAGGCTCCCAGGAGCCAGAGAGGCAGGCCAAGTGGCTGGGCTGTGCGGAGCTAGTCTGTATAGACGCTGTTCCTGCCCCACCGATGGGCACAAAAGGGAATCCCACCTGGAGTTCTGGTTTCACCTGGGCTCCCCATGGCCCCTGCTGCCTCCTGCCTAGCTGCCTAAGAGCTCAGGACCCTCACTTTGTGTTGGCAGGCACTTCTGACATGGGGTCAAACCTGGCAGCTCCCCTTTCTCTTCCCAGTGCCAAGTCAATTCTGCCCCACCAGGAGGGCTCTGCAGGTGCTGGTTCACTGACAAAGAACGATTCACTGTGTCCACTCAGTGGCGCATCCTCTTCATGGCATCCTGTCATATGGATACTCATGACCTGTGTTCTTTTGGAAGGAATTTCGGACATGGCTGAGGGAGGAATGGGGGCGCACGCTGGAGGACATCTTCCATGAACACATGCAGGAGCTCATCCTGATGAAGTTTATCTACACCAGTCAGTACGAGTGAGTGCGGCGGCCTCCCACTTGGTGCTGGGGTGGCCCCTTCCTGGTGGGTGTTGGGGCATAGTCCTCTCTCCCCCCCAGTGGGTGATAGTATGCAGTCCTCTCTCCTGCTGGGGGCTGGGAGTGGGGCCCCTCCCTGTGGTGCTGGGAGCATAGTTCTTTCTATGGATGCTAGGTTACAGTCTTCTCTCTCTCACTGGGTGCTCAAACACAGCCCCTCTCTCTGTGGGTGCTAGGCTGCAGTCTTCTCTCCTTGTAGCCCTGTGTAGGTGCTGGGTACTCAGTCTCTCTGTGGGTGCTGAGTGCAGCCCCTCTGTGAGTGCTGAGACCACAGCCCTTTCCTGGTGGTTGCTGTGGTGCAGCCCCTCTCTCTGGGTATTAGGACCAGTCATCTCTCTGTCAGTGCTGGGAGTGCAGCCCTTTCTCTGTGGGTGGTGAGAGCATAGCTCTATGGGTGGAGCAGCACAGCCCCTCTCTCCTGGTGGTGCTGGGAGTACACTCTCTCTCTCTGAATGCTGGGAGTGCAGGCTTCCCTGTAGCTGCTGTGGCACAGCCCCAGACCCCTTCCTTCATCTGGGTGTCTGTTTTTGTCTGATTTGTCACCCCTGCCAACACTCATGCTCTAGAGTGTGGCGCTGCTCAGCCCAGTGACTTGGGCTCTTTCCCCCGGGTAGTGGAGCAAAGGGGCACTTCCTTTCCCCTCCCGCCTAAAGCTCTGCACTGGCACTGATGCCTCCCTTCCCTCCAGAAGCCCTGTTGGAAGCATGCATGCAGGTGGGTGGGGGTGAGGGCTCCCCCAGGGGCATTGCTGCCCACAGCTTGGTGGATGCCTGGCCCTGGTTGAGCTGAGCTGCCCGCCCTACCCTACCCTACCCTGCAAAGCGTGGCCCCGGTGCCTTGTGCATCCACAGTCCTGCTGCCCAGCCCTCCTGTGCTAACATGCCGCTTCCCACAGCAACTGCCTGACCTACCGCCGCATCTACCTGCCGCCAAGCCGCCCTGATGACCTCATCAAGCCAGGCCTCTTCAAAGGCACCTATGGTAGCCACGGCCTGGAGATTGTGATGCTCAGCTTCCATGGCCGGCGTGCCAGGGGCACCAAGATCACGGTGAGTGGTGGCTGCCCTGGCCAGCTGGGCTGTATAGTCACGGAACTTGGGCAGACATAGATCCCTGGTGCCCTTGCTCCTCAGAGTGGGCTTATACTTGTAGCGCTGGGAGTTTGGGAATGCAGATTCTAGGGCCCCAGCCAGCCCCACTGAACTAGAATCACATTTCTATGAAACCCTCAGGGAGTCCGTGTGCTTCCACACCAGCGTTCAGCTCCGGCCACCCTGGCAGCCCTGGGAGGTCGCAGTGGCATGGAGACTCTTGTACTCGCAGACAGCCCTCACCGTCTTGGGGCTTCGGCAGCTCCTCTTCTGGGAGCGACCTGAGGGCAGGCTGTGTGGTGAGCCCAACGGTATTGCTCCTCTCCTGGGGCTGTGAACAGGGCTGTTATGAGCACAGGCTCATTCCCCATGCCAGGGCTGCTGGCACATGCTGCCTGCTTGTCCCGCATGGTTATTAGGGATCCTTGCGGACAGTGCCTGAAGGGGCAGAGCGTCTTCCTTGAGCCTCCAGGGATCAGGGCCACATCTGGCATGATGGGGCTTTCCCTGAACCCCAGTGTTTTGGCTCCTAGACTCCTCATGGAGTTTTGGGGCTGAAGGATGTTCCTGGGGTTCAGCTCCTAAGCTGTGCCTTTCAGGCAGACAGATCTGGGCTGTCCCTTGGGCTGCTGCCTGGCTCTGGGATGTTCTTTGAACTTTTCTGGGTGTGGTTAAGCTGGTATGAGCCAGCTGCTGTCCTCAGGGGCACTCATAGGCGTCACTGGCCCCCACCACTTTCTAAAGAATTCTGAGACTTCTTCCTCTGTAAGACATGCTGCTAAGTCAGCAGGAGGGCTGGTGCCAGCTCGTTCAGCCACTGGGCTAGATCCCACACAGTGGTGCTGCAGCTGCTGGCCCTAGCCCTGCTGATCACCACCTGCTCCACAGGGCGACCCCAACATCCCTGCCGGGCAGCAGACGGTAGAGATCGACCTGAGACACCAGATCCAGCTGCCTGACCTCGAGAACCAGCGCAACTTCAATGAGCTATCCCGCATCGTCCTGGAGGTGCGAGAGCGGGTGCGCCAGGAGCAGCAGGAAGGCGGGTACGAGGCAGGCGAGGGGCGTGGCCGACAGGGCCTCCGGGAATCCCAGCCAAGTCCTGCTCAGCCCAGGGCAGAGGCACCCAGCAGGGGCCCAGACGGGACACCTGCTGAGGACGGCGGTGAACCTGGGGATGCCGTGGCTGTGGCCGAACAGCCTGCCCAGAGTGGGCAGGGGCAGCCATTTGTGCTGCCCGTGGGCGTGAGCTCCAGGAATGAAGACTACCCCCGAACCTGCAGGATGTGGTAAGGATGTAGTGGGCACTGGGGCCGGAGGGCGGGTCAGCATGGGTTTCAGTGAGGGCCCCAGGCCCACACCCAGCATGGGCAGAGAGGGCCTGTGACCTCACAGAGGGTAGCAGCTGGAGCTTTGGGACACGAGTGTGGCCGGCCTCTGACCCCTTGGAGCACGTCCCTTGGCACCTGAGTAAGTGGCTGCACAGCTGTGTCCTGTCCTTCCACCCCTTCTGGGGGACCTCAGAGCTGCAGGGCACAAGGCCTCCTAATGCCCCACATCCCTGCAGTAGTGCCGCTCCACTAGTGGCTTCTAAATCTAGTTTCCAGTCAGTCAAGTGAAAGCAGGTGAAGTGTCCAACAGCTTTGAAAGCAGGAAACAAAGTCACCTTCCCTACCTACCCACCCACCCTGTGGAAAGCCCACTTTGGTTTGCCTGGGTGTTGTCCTGGGTGGCATCTTTCTGGGCACCTTTGGCTATCTCCCCATGCATGCGGTTCAGATGTGGGTACTGTTTTTCTCCTCTCCCTCCTCCATGCCTGCCTGCCTCTGCTGGGCCAGGCCAGTGCCTGGGTGGCCAGTGGAGTGGACACCAGCTGAGACTGCATGGCAGGTGCTGGCCCTGCCGCTGGTCCTGCAGGGCTTGGGCTGCTGACTTGAGATGAGGCCTGCACAGCCGCCAGCTGCTGTCTTACTGGCTTTTTTTACACAGCTGTCTGGGCCACTGCCTTCAGTGGCCCGGTCCCCTTCCATTTATGCTGCTCCTCATAGATGAACAAGGCCCTTGCCCTGTGTTCTTACCCTTTAGGACTGTTAAAAGTTTAAATGAACTGAAATGGAATAAAATGAAAAATCCAGGCCCTCAGCCACCCAGGCCACGTTTCAAGTACTTCCTGGCCACATATGGCTGGTGGACAGTGCAGTTCTAGAACATTCCATCAACACAGAGGGTTCTGCCAGACAGTGGCCTTGGGGGTCATTTTGAGGGTCCGCCTGTCAGTATCCTGGCATCAAAGTCTTTCTGCCATTTTCACGTTACAAGTTATTTTCCTTTTACCTGCAAGCCATGTCACCATGTGTCTGCATTTACCACTAAACTTCCCATCATGGAGGGAGGTGCCACCTGCCCAGCTCCCAGATGGGGTTTGGATGTCTGGGTGGGGCTTTCTTCATGTTCACATGTATAACAGTGACTGAGGAGCTTACAGAGAGAGGCATACAAATAGTGTCATAGTGTTGTTTTAGCTGGTGTAAATGTTTGAATAGCTATAAAAGGAAAAAGTTCTGCTACCCTTCAAAAATGTCAAAACTCCTAAAACCTCACAACCGGCTCGAGCCAGTTTGCAGGTCACAGCATGTGCTACGGCCACTGGCCAGAGAGCCCTCCAGCCCCTATTCCCAGCTAACCTGCATGACAGTCCACCCCATGCTGAATATGGGAGCTCCCGGTCCTTCCCTGTTTGGTTTATGGGTCTGAAGGGCCTGGCCACAGCATCTGTACAGGGAATGCCTCTTGGTTTTTGCGAGCACAGTGCTGATGACTGTACCTGCCTCTCGGCCCTGGAGCTTCTCCCTCCACCTGAGACGACCTCTGAGGCCCAGGCCCTGGTCCAAGGGGGTACTCACCCACCAGACCTTTGGAGCCTTTGTGGCTGGATGATTCTCGCCATTTGTTGGAAGAATTTAGCTGCTTGCAAGACAGCCATAAGTGTTTTCCCGTTTGATGTTGACTTCAGAGCCATAAATGGGTGTCTGCGAGTTCTTCCCCCTGAGTGAATGTCAGCTACAGGCCATCTACATTATATCTCATTGTTTGTATGGGGACATAACTCCCTGAAATGAAGATTTTTTTCATGTTTGGCCTTGTATGAAATGTGTGTTTTGGAATAGAGCTCTTTGGGCCTGCAGAGACCTCTTGTTTTAGTTTGGTGAGGCAGCACTGTGTGCAGTGAGTGAGTGAATCCCTCTCACAGGTGCTGTGCGTCAGTGCCCATACCCCAAGCAGCCTGGAGGTCTGGCCTCTGCAGCCATCATTAGGTGGGCTTGACCTGTGCCCTTAGCTACCCCTGCAGAGGCAGGCTCAGCACACACCCCCAGCTACCCTTGCAGAGTTTCAGCCCGCACCCCCAGCTGCCCCTGTAGAGACAGGCTGGCTTTGGGAGTCAGCTTGTGGCTGATGAATAGTGGATGTGGCTCTTGTGGAACGGAGGAGCATCTCAGAATGCCAGACATGAGGTGAACTTGACTCAGCCCTCCTCCCAACTCACACTTACCCTCTTGTCTCTGTTCAGTTTTTATGGCACAGGCCTCATCGCGGGCCATGGCTTCACCAGCCCTGAACGCACCCCTGGGGTCTTCATCCTCTTCGACGAGGACCGCTTCGGGTTCGTCTGGCTGGAGCTGAAATCCTTCAGCCTGTACAGCCGGGTCCAGGCCACCTTCCGGAATGCAGATGCGCCATCCCCACAGGCCTTTGACGAAATGCTCAAGAACATTCAGTCCCTTACCTCCTGACCAGCCACATCCTTGCTGCCACATCCTGGGTAGCTTTGGGGCTCTGGACTCTGACCTGTGAATAGAAGCAGCATGCACTTTGGAAATACAGCCTTTTGACCAGAATGCACACCTCGTTGGGGGTCCCTGCACAGCCACACCCCAGCACTTTATGTAGAGAGAGTGACAGGCCTGCATATTTGTCAGTGCCGTGATGGAGGAAGCTGAGCATGTCTTACCAAAAAAGAGAATGAGCTGGAATACAGTGGATCTAGGGGCCAGCTGCGGGACTGTGTGAGAATTGAAGCGGTGGGGTTGCTGCACCCTGGGCTGGCTGGCGTTTTTCTCGGGAAACAGGACTCTCCTCTGGCGCACTTTTCCTGTGAGCGGATAGAATGATAGAATGGGTCGTGTGTGAGACACATGTGCTCCACCCCACTCCTGCTGGGGGGAGCCAGGCAGAAGTGGCCTCTGGGGAGGGGGTCAGGAAGAGAACACCCAGGCAGTGCAGGTGTGATGGGCACAGCGTGTGGAGAGCAAGCTTGGGAAGTTGGTGGGATCTCAGGGTTGGGGGCGGACTCTGGATTGAATCCCATCTCTCTCTCTCGGCTCGGTCGAGTTTGGACAGAAGCGTTTCACCTCTGATCTCAGCTTCCTCACCTGTGGAGTGGTTGTAGTGACCTGAGTCACTGGAGAATGTCAATGTGAGTGCATGGCCCGGCCGACACACCTGCCCCGGCCCCTCTTCTCCAGCTTTGGAGCTGAGGCCATTGTTCCAGCCACTTGACTGTCCTCGTCAGCCTGTTCCAGACAGGGCGTTTTGTCCTTGCTTTCCTCCATGCACGCAAGCATTGTCAAAACCAAGCTGCCAGCCATTTTCTCCAGAACACAAGGCTCCAGGCTCGCATTTCTGAAGCAGTCCTTGCATTTCTCTCCTGTGAGTGGTTCACTCAGGTGCCAGGAATGCTCATACGAGATGATGAGGAAAGCCCTTTGCAGTTGAGGGGACAGCTTTCTTGAAAAGCCACACCTACGTCTGGGGACACATTTTGGAAAGCAGGACCCCCTGGGTACCCTTCAGCTTGGAGACCCCAATGCACTGATGCCTTCACTGCTGTGTGCCCTGTGTTGTTAACACCTCCGTGTGGGGACCCCATCGAAAATCTTGGCTGAGGTTGGCATCTGAAGAAGAGGGAGCACGGTGCCCAAAGCTGGCTGTTGCCCTAGCCCACAGCCAGCTCCGTGCCCGAGTGGGTGTCCCTGGTGAGTCTTCCCTTTCTGCTACTAGTCCTTGTGCTGGGTGCCCTGGACACGTCCTACTGGTGAGGGACCTTTGGAAGGTGACAGTCTGTGTGCCTTTGTCTGGAGACCAACCTGAGAATATCCTGGGAAACATTTTCCTGATCAACTTCTGACTGGCCTTTAAAAAAAAAAAAAAATTCCCACTGCCCAGCCTCAGTGCATTTGGCAAATTCTTACTTTGCTTCCCAGAATCAGAAAATTGGCAAGGTCCTTAAATGGTAATCTGGCCCGCCTGGGAAAAAGACTCAGGAGAAAAGCCAGTGGAGAAGGTGGCAGTAGGGCAGCCCACCCAGGAGCCATGCAGATCCCGAGGCACACCTGCCGGCTCTCCGTGTGGCCAGATTCTAGCAGCTTTTGCAGCATTAGCCTACACGCTTTGTCACTCCTTGCCCTCTGTGGTGGTCACTATTTTTCTCTCATGCCAAATGATGCGGTCCCTGAGGGATGGTGACTTGTGGCCCTGAAGCCTGGGGGACCCTCGGGCATGTAGACTGGCACCCTTCAGGGTTCACCATTGTTTCAATAAAATCAAGAAAATGCATTTTTACCAAGAGCCTGAGGCTTGCTCTAAGGGACCCAGTCCCTCAGAGGCATGCCCTTTGGGGCTTGAAGAGCACACTGGTGGGAGACGAGCACTTCTGATTAAAGGAATCTCAAATCTCAACTGTGCTTCCAGTGTTTGGGTGCATAAATGGTTTCCACTCAGAATGTCTCAAATAGCCATGGGCTGTAAGTCAGTTCACGTGGCTTCTGGTTCTGGTGTGTGTGTTGTGGGGGTTTGTCCATGGTGGTGACCTGTGGTGATGCCAGGCAGGGTGGAGCCATGCAGCCTGGAAGGGGAGGCCTTCTTGGCCGCACAGTCAATCCCTCCAGTCATGACTACAGGTCTTGTTTTTTCCACTCTGCTGTGTCCTTAGCCAGTTCTTGGCTCTGATTCTGTAGGGACAGGCACAGAGTCTGTGCACCTCCAAACATGGCAGCTTCGCTTACTGGGGAAAGCATCCACGCTCCGAGAGGAACCTGCAGTTGGTCCATTCCCTGCAGGTGAGGACTCGGAAGGGCTGATGTCATCCTCAGAGGCCTAAGGGCAGCTGAGATTTAGGTAAAACTGTTTTTAAGGAGGCTGAGAAACCCAGTTTGGGATAGCCAAGCACATTGGAGCTTGACTGGGAAGGTGGCCGGTGGAGCTGGGAGGTTGGTGCTCTCCATCTTTTGCCCCACGGATGCTTTTCCTCGTCATCTCACTCCTCTGCAGCAGGATCAAATCTGCTGTTTGGATGGAATGTGGCTGCCTGCAGTGCAGCTCTGCGTACCTGAATGCTTTTTGTCACTTGTTTGGAAATGATGTGATTGAAGATTTCAGACAGGTCACTGGGGACTTTTCTGTACCAGCACTGAATGTTTGCATGAGGAAGCTGCAAACATCTGTAGGCTGAGATTCAGGACGGGTGGTATTGGAGTCCCTTAGCCCATCTGACCTGGGCCCTAACCTCAGGGTCTGCTGCTGAATGTGAGTGGCTTTGTAGGCCTGGTGGTGGGAGAGCCTCAGGCTCCCTTCTTTCTCATTCCTGACCATGCCCTGGGCCCCTTCGGCCTGGCTGTGGCTCTGTGGCATCCCTGCCCTGACACTGGCACTTGTGTCCCTAGCAAGCCCACCTGGCACACGAATAGGGAGGGGTGGGTGGTCTTGGCTTTCCTCTAGCCACATGCCCTGCTGGCCACTCCATTCCCAGCTTTGTGCAGAACCAGGTGAAAACTGGAGTTTTTTCTTTGAGAACTTGGAGGTGTGCTGTAGCCGTATGCAAGGGCCTTCCAGCTGCTGGCTCTGACTTCCCTGACTTGGAGGTTTGTTCACTCCCAGGCTTTCTCACCCGCAGAGGGTTAGGCCATTTGCAGTGCTTGTGGGCAGTCATGGAGAGCAGCAGAACCTCCTCAGCCCCTTCATTACTTCAGAACGCCCATCCACGTGCATCTCCTGAGCCCCTGTTCTCCTCCTCCTCATGGCTGTGGGGGTCTCAAGTGTGAACAGGAGACACCGAGCTGCGGTCCACTATCCAAGGCTCTGCTGAAAGCTGCTGGCTCTTTTAGGATCTTTCTATTCTGGTTGCTACCTTCATGGTGTAACTTTTAAGAATGCTTATGGGAATGAGCTCATAGAACTGCCACCTGCCCTGAGAATAGAACTCTTCGAATCATGATGAAGTCCAGTGTTAATGTACACTGACCTGTCTTTGTTTCTGGGGAGAGATCAGGAACATCACTTGACTACACATCCTCAGCATTTTTGTATTTTTTCGAGAAGGAGTTTCACTCTTGTTGCCCACGCTGGAGTGCACTGGCATGATCTTGGCTCACCGTGACCTCTGCCTCCCTGGTTCAAGCGATTCTCCTGCCTCAGCCTCTTGAGTAGATGGGATTACAAGCATGTGCCACCAGGCCCGGGTAATTTCTCCATGTTGGTCAGGCTGGTCTTGAACTCCCAACTTCAGGTGATCTGCCCGCCTCGGCCTCCCACGGTGCTGGGATTACAGACGTGAGCCACTGCACCCACCCCAGAATATTTAGAGAAGAAAGCAGATGATGATTTCTGTTTGGCTGACTACTTTTTTGAGACAGGTTCTCACTCTGTTACCTGGGCTGGAGTGCAGTGGCACGATCACGGCTTACTGAGGTCTCAACCTCCTAGGCTGAAGTGATCTACTCACCTTAGCCTCCCAAGAAGCTGGGACCAAGGCACCCATCACCATGCCCAGCTAATTTGTTTTTGTAGAGATGGGGTTTTGCCATGTTGCTCAGGCTGGTCTTGAACTCCTGGGTTCAAGCAATTCACCCACCTCAGCCTCCCAAAGTGCTGTGATTACAGGCGTGAACCACTGCACCCAGCCTTGGCCTGTACTTTGAATGGGAATGAGACTGTGCAAACTGTGGAATACCCTGTGTCACCCACAACTCAGTGGCCTGCACGCCAGGAGACCGGCCAGAGCACATGAGGTCAGAGCCATGTGGGTTTTGGGCTGATTCTGTATTTGGTTGTTCCTGGAGGTGACATAACCTGCCTGCAGAAGGAAAGTGCTGTGCCATCTGATTGTGAGCCCTTTCGCTAGTAAGGTGACCTCATAGCAGGAGCTGTGCTCTGCCTGGGCAGGCGCCCAATAGGCAGGACCAGAGCAAGCCCAGTAGCTGCCACCTGCACCCATACACTTGTATTTCTCCTCACCATTTTAAGTAAATCTGTTTTTCAAGTCGTGTTGTGTGTTTTGTAATTTGTTTCTTTGGGAATATGATTCAGATGGAGGCAGAGCCTTAAGCCATGCAGGCTGTCAGTCCGGGAAACCAGACTTCCCAGCCTCTTCTTTACAAAGTGTCCAATTTCCCGCACTGACAGAAGGGAGCACTGAAGGGATGCCTTGGAATCCAGACAGTGGTTGTCCCTGTGTCCTTCTCTTTGACCTGGCATCAGAAGGGAGGACCCCATTCCCTTTGGGTCCCCATTCCCTACTCAGGGATCCGAAGGGAGTGGGGGCCCCAGTGGGCTTTCTTAGATTTAAGCCGAAGTGAGTTGCATTATCTGAAACCGGGAAAAGAACAGGACAGATATGGGAGGGACTGTGCTTGGAGCCATGCAGACGAACTGACACTCTCATAGATCTTTCTTTTCTGTTTTCTAAAGTGCTATGTTATTGTAAACAGTTCGAGTCTTTAGCATAGACTGTGAAAGTACCTCCTGTTCTCATCCCAGCCTCCCTGTGAGTCACTGCTGTTAATTAATGCTGTTAGCTTGGAATTGAGAAAAAGGATGTTTTCATGGAAATGCACTCAAAGTACACCATCGATTGGCAGAAATTGGCAGGTGTGATTTTCTAAATGTTGGCAGTGATGCAGGGGAACAAACGCATAGGCGCAGCTATTTGGGGACAGCTCAGCTGGTACTAGCTCATAGCACTAAGGACATGGGCCCAGGAACTGACAACTGCAAGGTGTCTACCTTGGGGAAACACAAGAGCCCAGGTGTGGGCCACACAGACGTTCACTGCTACACTGTGACCAGTCACTGGCCGGAAGGAGGTGGGTGGACTATGGTGGAGCCACCCTTAGTGTCACACGGCAGGCGGACACACAGCCTTGTTCCATTGCAAAATGAGTAAAGTGAGAGATGGTATTTGTGTAACATGTAAAAATGCAAATACCTAATTTTTATCAATTGACGTGGTGAAAAGCTGAAGATGGTGTGGGAATGGTATGGTCACATCTAGGGGTGTTAAAAGGCAGAAGCTCAACTCTGTTTTGCTTTAAAAAATGAGGTTCGTATGGCAGAACTAGCATCTGTTCGCCTGTTGATCCTGACACCACTGATTATGAGATCTCCCTCTTTTCTGCGTGGTTCAGAGACCAGCCCCTCAGGCAGCATACAGTGCCAGGAACAGTGACCTGCAGGCCCACTCACTGCCATCCCCACTGGCCTGCCAGCTGCGGTTGCTTCCTGGGCACTGAGCACTTTCCTGGGAGAGCAGGGGATCATGGGTCCCTGGTGGTGGGCACTTCCTTCTCCGGGAAGAGTAGCGGGTTGTGGGTCCCCGGCGGTAGGTGCTTCATTCTCCGGGGAGAGCAGCAGGTCGTGGGTCCCTGGCAGTGGGCGCTTCCTTCTCTGGGGAGAGCAGGGGATATTTGGTCCCTGGCAGTGGGTACTTCCTTCTCCGGGGAGAGCAGGGATCTTGGGTCCCTTGGCCTATGGCGCTTCCTTCTCTACTCACAGGTTTGCTGTTGTTTCCAGGCCTTTCTTTGGGGCCTGGGTCCTAGCCATGGGGTCATCCTCAACTGCGTGGGCCATGCCAACCACATACGAATCACTTGCTACAAGCAGCACCACACAACCTCCTGTTTGGACAAGACCCTGCACCCCACAGACTGAAGATGCACCCCGATTTCCAAGGTCACACGGGGAAGTGTGGATCTGATAATGGACTAAGTGTGACATCTTTAACACATCTCGCGTTTTATTTTAAAATGAAAAATATCAAGTCATGGGGAAGGAGTAAAACACTGCTGTCTGCTACAGTTCCCCTCTTGCTGCAAGGGCATGGATGGCCCAGACGGGGGGACCTGCTCCTGGCCTGGGTGCCACAGCCTCACCTAGACGCAAGAGCACAGGCTTTGTTCTCCAGGGATCTGTCCAACACCAGCATCACCCCAGGGGCTCGGGCCCTGGGCTTTTCTCTCTGCTGCTGGGGCTGAGGGGACAGCAGATAGGCAGCGAGGCTAGTGGCTGCCCAGGCTGGCTGTGTCCAACACCAGAGGGTGAGGCAGAGTCTGAGAGGGAGTTGTGGCTGGGTCACCTGGTCCCAGATGGAGCTCACTCCTCCCTCTGGGGGCCGCTTGGCTGCACTGCCCTTAGAGGCATGGTGCTTTGCCCACCCAGTGGATGGCATGGCTTTGTGCTTGCTCCCCTTGCAGGAGGCAGCATGCTCGGGGTCCTCCCTTTGTCCCTGCTCCTTAGAGGAGGTCCCTTTTTGCTGTGTGACCTTTAGTGGGCACTTAGGGTCATTGCTGAGGGCTTGCCCTCAACCAGCAATGTGAAACGAAGAGTGCCATTTGGATAGTTTCCAAACTTACTCCCCGCACCCTCCCCATTTTTACTTGAAAACTCCTGAGGATGGGATCCAAGCT